CCGTTCTCATTTTTCCGGCAGTTATTGCTTTGAGCCAACTATGTATTTGTGTGTGTGTGTGTTAGTGCAAATACTACCACTACTGTTGAACACAAGTGCATTTGCACATATATGCCAGTGTGTGTGTTTATAATTTTTTTCGTTAGCAAATAAACAATGTGTACACACATTAACATGTGTGGGTGTGTACGTGTATGTGTGTGTGCATGCGTTAGAGTTTGTTTATAAATTGTAAATTCATTGTAGCAGCCAGTTTTTGTTTATGGTTCGTTTGCCAGCAATTGTTTTTCTGCCAAAGTCGTGGTAATAGCACTACTTTTTTCTGCTTTTGCTGTTGTTGTTGCTGCTGTTATTGTTTCAAATAAACTAGAAAACGTACTATTTCGTACTTTTATTACTGTTCTCAACTTTCTGCTATTTTGTTTTATTTTATTTTTTCTATATTGAAACACTGCGTAATACATTTATTTGTTTTGCTTTGCGGTACTTTGATAAATGTTTTCTATGTGCGTTGTGCGTGTTTTATAAGCTTAGCTCAGTGCAAGAGTGACAGTATTACAGGAGACTGGTGTAATCGACTCATTTAATGAGTTTACCATCACATGATTAAATGGAGTTTTTTTGGCGACATACATTTTTGGTGAATTAGAAAAACACACGCTGTACATTCCGTTTGTAACACCTCGGACCGGAATTATTTCAAATTTTGTATTCGAAGTTCGTAATGAATACTACAGTCTATGTCAGAAAATTGCCTTGGCAGGTCTACGTCGCCGCATAGCCCCCATATAACGGTACCCCCTTATATTGGGTATTTTGATGATTTTGGCGACATTATTTACCGGACAGACAGAAAATTGTCTGTGCAGGCTTCTGAAAAATATAGCCCCCATATAACGGTACCTCACGATATTCGGTATTTTGATCGTTTTTGCCACATTTTCCCATGAGTATGTCTGAAAATTGGCATTTGTTGTCATAATAGATTTTAATGTTTCATTTACCCTAAGATAGAGGGAATTAAAAGTTCGGCTCGGAACTTGTTTAACACTTGCGGTAGGATACAAATTCGCCAATTTCGGAAATTTTTTATACCCTCCACCATACATAGTATGGAGGGTATATTAAGTTCGTCATTCCGTTTATACCTCATCGAAATAATAATTTTAGACCCAACAAAGTATATGTATTCTTAATCAGCGTAAAATTCTAAGACGATTTAGCCCTGTCCGTCCGTCTGTTGTAATCACGCTACAGTCTAAACAAATTAAGATAGGAAGCTAAAATTTTGCACAGATCTCTCTTTTGTCTGCAGGCAGGTCAAGTTCGAAGATGATTTATATCGATCCACAATATCGTATAGCCCCTATATAACTGTACCCCCCGATATTCGGTATTTTGATGATGTTAGCCACATTTTTCAATGGAATTGTCTGAAATTCCACACAAGAAGTCCCTTGTGAGTATTTTATCCCCTGAGGGAGAATTGTCCACGATATCGTATATCACCCATATAACGGTATCCCCCGATATTCGTTACTTTATAACTCGGAAGAGAATTATCTATATAGGTCCACAATATCATATAGCACCAATATAACGGTACCCCCGATATTTGATATTTTGAAGATTTTATCCACATTTTTCAACGGAATAATCTAGAATTCTACACAATGAGTTCTTTTTGAGTTCTTTACCCCCTAAAAGAGATTTGTCTATATAGGTCCACGATATCGTATATCCCCCATATAATAGTAACCTCCGATATTCGGTATATTGATGATTTTAGCCACATTTTTCAATGGAATTGTCTGAAAGTCCACACAAGGAGTTCTTTGTGAGCGCTTTATCCCCTGAAAGGGAATTGTCTATATAGGTCCACAATATCGTATAAACCCCTATACAACGGTACCCGATATTCGGGTATTTTCCAAATAGTATTGTCTGAAAATCCGAAATCGGTATTTTGATGAGTTAGCCACATTTTTCAACGGAATTGTCTGAAAATATACACAAGGAGTTCTTTGTGAGCACTTTGCCCCAGACATAGATTTGTCTATACAGGTCCACAATATCGTATATCCCCTCATATATCGATAACTTCCGATATTGGGTGTTTTAGAGATTTTAACAGAATTTTGAATGGATTTTATTTTTTGAAAATTTGCTAATTCCTTCCAAATCGTGGAGGGTATTCAAAGTTCGGCCCGGCCGAACTTACTGCTTTTTGACTTGTTTAATATCGGCTTAATTTTGCAATGCCTGTCAATTTTATGAGTTTCATTCCTGAGTTTTGCAGCCAAAGGGATTGCTTGTTGATACACCTTGCCAGTTTAGTAGGTGAGTTTATTCTGGTGCCAAGAAAAGGTTGCCCAACATGCGGTAAAAATGGCGCCCGAAGCTTACCGCTCTATTGATTATTGACTCAATGAAAAGAACTGCGGACCGAATACAGTTGGAATTAAAACTTGATGATTCAATAACTCCAAAAAGGGTTTTCCGAATTTAATTCCAATTACGTAGGTTGTCCTCCGTGTCCACTTATTACAATAGGAAAAGATTAAAGATTTAGAGATAGTTCCATACACCGACTAAGTCTATGCTTTCACGAACTCAAAGAATTACATATTCTCCAGAAGTCTGTCATAATTTGTTAGCGAATTAACTGTTTATTAGGCCTTGAGATTATCTTTGGCTGGCAGTATCGACTCAATTTAGCATGTCTTTAGATTTCTATGGGGTTCATTAATGAATTTTGCAGTTAAGGGGAGTGTCTGCTTATACAGATTGCTAGCTAGATTCTGGTGCCAAATGAAGAGATTCTCCAGCATGCTATAAAAATGGCGCCCAACGTAGGCAGTTACGTAGGTTTTCCTCCGTATCCACCTATTAAATAGGAAAATAGGAAAAGATTTAGCCGGTCCCGTTGGAGATGGCTCCAAACACCAACTTTTAGGGACTCAAAGAAGTACATATCCTCCAGAAATCGGTCTTAATTTGTTAGCGAATTGGCTGTTAGTTTGCATATCTTTGTTATCTTTGGCTGGAAATTTCGCTGCCGGAAATAGTTTCCATATCGGTTCTACTTGGCGGTGATGGTCGATCCTTATGGGGTTCATTTATGATTTTACAGTTAAGGAGATTAGTTGCAAGGCAAGGCAAGAGTTTCCTAAATTTAATTAATTTACTTAGATTGTCATCCTCTTTCACAATGGGAAAAGATTTAGACGGCCCTGTGGTTTCAAAGAATTCCATATTCACCAGAATTTTGGATATCGAGTTGGTTTTACATGATTCTCGCCTTGACGACTCCAATCATGATGCACCATTGCACCGGTGTCGCGATGTGTCGGTAAACGCCACTTTATAATCACACAGAGTTTTCTTACTGAGTTCCAGGTCTATTCAGCAGGTACCAATTCGAAGATCAGCTACATGGGCTTAATTCCCCTCTTGGTTAGGGGTTGAGAACTATCTTACATCTCTGCTGCCATATGAGTCACAGCATCCAGTGGAGAAGGCAACCCCATATTGAGGCGAAGCCATAGCTGGGTATAAACTGCAACTGAGTTGCACCCAAAACAGATACCTCTCTGTAGTTAAGCTAGATCAAAAGAAGAGTCTGCAGACCATATTCTGTTGTCGAAACTACTACCACTTTTTGTTTCATACAACATGCGACTGGTCACCAAAAATGGGACAGACACGATCGGGAAATAGGACGAGTGCAACTTACAAGTGCCACTCTGATAAATCAGTCTAATCACTGGGTTTACATAAGGAATTGATGAGAATTGAGATTCCCTGGGATCCCCCACTACCTTCGGTACCATAAAAAGAGGAAGTCCTGAATATAATGAAAGAAATTCTTTAATAAACCCTATCTCAACAAATAATTTTTGACTATGTACAGATGGCACCCAACCATTTCTGCAATGCCATTTTAAACTTAACCCGCATTTTTTTATTTTACCAATTATGATTAGGACAACCCTCAGAATTTTTAATTACAAGGATTCTTCATTGTCTGATTTTTTCTTTAAATTCATTCCTGTCATACTTTAAATGAAGTTAAAAAAATTTTTCTTACTCTGAGCAAACAAAATATTTGCAATACGCATGAGATGGCGCCCAACGTATATTACTATGTTCTTATATTTTTTTCTACAATTTCATATGGCGCCCAACCAATTTTACAAAGCCGTTTTACACTTAACTATTGTTCATTATTATATTATTGGCTGCGCTTAAAACGTCATCGAAATCTACAATTTAGTTCCTTCGGTTTATTAGCAATCCGGATTTTCAAAATTTTTTCAGTCATGTATCAAATGGAGTCGAAAAAAATACTTCTCCTCCGATCCCAAAAATATACTACACCTTTAACCTTTACGAAATCGATCTTAAGAAATCCTACCTTTAACCACCTACTGGCTGGATTATTTATGGGATCTTTACCTAAAATTATCATTCCGGTCGAGCTTAACAAATCGGTCGAGCCGTGTACTCGCTGAATTCATTTCTGTTGCCAAGTAAATTCAAAGCGTTCTTTAGTTGACATTTTAGTGACATTCGGCAGAATGTAGACTATGAAACATTTGGACTATGAAAATCCCCTTGTGGGGGAAAACGACTCCCACAGTACGCTTTGTTTTAGGCTTTGCCATACTTTTTGGAAATATGAGTCTCCAATTTACCTGCTTGAATAATTCCTCATTATGCTACCGGATTCTGATGGTCGAGGTATTCCAATGCAGTGTTTAATTGTTAAACAAATACTTTAAAACAATTTTCGTAAAATCACAATTTCAGTAAATTTTAACTATTTAAGAAATCGGCTAAAAGCTTTGGTTTTGATAGAGAAAAAGTTTACGCTTAAACCATTTAAAAAGATTTTTATAAATACTTTTTATTGTTAATTTTATCTGCTTGTCTCATCCCATCCCCCAAACCTAAATACTCTGAACTTAATCCTCGCTTTTTTATTTGTCTCTTTATAGAAAACTAAGCTGCACATTCACATCCATTCAATTTGAACCAACGAGCGAGTGAACGAACCAACACATACATCATAGAGAGATAATAAATGCTACTAAATTTAACCCAGCATGTGTGTGTCTGTGTGTGAGTGAGTGGGAGAGAGACAGAGAAAAGACCATGCTTTAAAAGACAATTCAATTGACAATTTGGTTTAAATAAATCTACATAAAAATCCATAAAAAAAAACAGCTGGAATTGAATTGAATGGTAGATGAAATGAAATAAAAATCCGGCAAAAGGAAAGTAACAAAAAACTAAAGAGACAAAATAAGTGAACGAAATTGAGGGGAAAACGAAAGAGAGGGAGAGGAAAAATAAATGTGAGTGGTACAAGCAAGCGAAGCAAACGGTTAAAAAATAACAGCGATACACATAAACAGTAAAACGGAAACGGAAATTGTAAAATAAAAATCCGCACACAAATATACCCAAACGAACACACAGAGTGAATGGCAGATTATAAAGTAGATTCATAAAAAAGGCAACAAGAAACTTTGACAAAAAAAGTACAAGGACAATATCCTTGCAAAACAACCAAACCAAAGAATAAAGAAAACAAAACACAGAACAAACCAAACCAGCCAAGCCCAGCCCAGCAAGGACAACAGTACAAACCCCCTAGCATGCGGATGGTCCTTCGTCATTGAGGCCAAGTAACAAACAAACAAACAAACGAACGAACCAATAAACTGATAAACATTTACAGTTATAACTATCCTCTTTAAACAACTACTGCCACTTCCGGTTGACTGGTTATTGGTGTGCTCGACTTCGGTTCGTTATTTTTTTTCGCTGCTTCTCCGTTCATTTCAGTCGTTTGTCTGCCGTCGTGTTTTTTTTTTTTTCGTTTTGTGGCATATCTTAAGAAGTTTCTGACATTTACACAGTGTAGTCTACGTTGAACCGTAGGAAAAACACAACAACAACAACATAAACATGACGTCTTCGACGGCAATGCCAGCGAAAGCAATCAGAACAAAAACAAAAATCCTGCCGCCTTTAATAGCACCAACAACAACAATTGAAGCCACAACACCTCCACTTAGCAGTTATCGTCATCACAGCCACAAGCATGGACGCTGTGGAAGTGGCATCACGAGACAATATCCCCGACATCTGTTGGCTTACAGTCTGCTATCGATTTTGGTCGTATTGTGTTGGCTACCCGGTAAGTTATGCGAAAATAAATAATTCCAAAAAGAAAAATATTCATTAAATTGGGAGTTTAATAATTAAATGAAAAAATATGGAAAAATTCTACTTCAATGCAACTCCACCTGGCTTCTTTAAAAGAAATTGCAGATATTAGCTGATGATTCCGATTTTTGGAATTAGAATTCTAGGGAAAGAAAGAAAATAAATATATCTTATTTTTAAATCCTTCAAGGGATATTAGCCAAATTATAAACAAATAAATCTATGCATAAATCAATATAAATATATGAACCAGTAAGGAAAAGTCAAAAGTCCGGCGGAGCCGACTGTACATATGATACCCTACGCCACTATGCTTACTTAGTAGAGCTCCCGTAACAAAAGAATTTATTTAAAGTAGATCATACCACCTATCAACATTTGGCTTTAGAGCAGTTATAATTTCGTCGCGGAGGGAACTAATATATGGGAGGCATATCCAATTCGGAAGCGATTTTCACTAAATTTGACGGAGACATTTTAATCTTTTATACCAAATAACACTGCTATTGAGTGCATTATATCACTTCAAGAAAGTTTATACAAAAAAGAATATACATCGAAGCCGAGTTCCACAAAATGGAAACGTACGTCTCAAAATTCACTCTAATTAGGCTGATATTGGCCATTATTTACACAATAAACCTGAAAACGGATTAAGAATATATATTGGAGCTACATCCAAATCGGTGCCAATCTTGATAAATTTTAGCAGAGGTATTTCAGAGCTCTATAAGATATCTAGTACCAAATGTCATTGTTGTCGAATGCATATTACGAATATGAGGGACTTAAAACCCAAATCGGATGAAACATATTTACAGAAACTAGAGCTATATCTGAGCCGAATTTCAAATTTTATGTACTTGCTTCTAGACTGAATTCGTCCGGATGTGCCAAAATTCAGGTCATTTGGACTTATATTGGCCAGTTGGTGCACAATTAACTCGAAATCGGTTGAAGATATATATGGGAGTTATATCCAAATCTGAACCGATCATGACAATTTTGAGCTGAATTTGATATCTGGTACAAAAGATCATTATTGTGGAATGTATATTACACGCATGAGAGACTTTAAACCCCAAATCGGATACCAAACCGATTTATACCAAATTTGAAGAGCTAGTAATTGCCAAAAATTCAGCTGATATTAGTCATTTGGTGCACAATATCAGATAAAGATATATATGGGAACTATATCCTAATCTGAACCGATCTCTATAAAAATTGACGGAGTAACTAATGTCTGGAACCAAGATATGGAAGCTATATCCAAATCTTATCCAATCTTGATTAAATTTGGCAGAGGTATTTCCGGGCTGTATATCTGGTACCAAATATCATTCTGGTGGGTGCATATTACGAATGTGAGAGACTTGAGAACCAAATCGAATGAAACGTATATGTGTAATATCTGTACCGATTTTTACCAAATTTGATGTACTTCTAGATTCATTCGATCGGATGTGGCATTTGGACTGATATTGGCCATTTGGTTCACAATTAACCGATTTGGTGCACAAATCTCAATCGGATAATAAATGCAACCTGTATGTTTTTCACAAAAATACATGGTCAGACGGTCTAACATGCATGAATCGCCTCAAAAAGTGATTCTATGAAGATCCTCAAAGTAACTATGGGTCTATCTCGCTTCCATCTCCCTGTGACAAACAAGTGCACAAATACATAATACCCTTACCACTATGTGGTGTAGGGTATAAAGAGTTCTGAAATCGGTAGGGAGAATAAGAACAGAACTGAAAATATATATTTGTTATACCTTCCACCATATTATGGAGGGTAACACCCCAAAATATACATTGTAGATCCCACAAAGAATATATATGTATGTATATTGATCAGCATAAAACTATATGTCGATCTAACAATGTCCATCCTCCACTCTGTCTATGTGTCTATAACGGCAGATTAATGCTTTAGCGGCTTTTATACCCTACACCACAAGGTGGTCAGGGTATTATGTCTTTGTGCATTTGTTTGTAACAGGCAAAAGGAAACGAGATAGACCCATAGTTCCTTTTGATGATCTGCATAGAATCACATTCTGAGTCGATTTAAGCATGTACGTCCGTCCGTCTGTCCATGTATTTTTGTAAATAAAGTACAGGTCGCATTTATTGCCCGATCCAGATGAAATTTTGCACAGATCATTTGTTTGGTCCAAGGACGAACCCTATTGAAATTGGAGATAATCGGTCAAAACTTAGATATAGCTCCCATATATATCTTCGTCCGATTTGCTTTTATTGTACACCAAACGTGTAATATCAGCCTGAATTGTATGGAATTTTGCACAAACAACCAAATTAGACCTGAAAATAAGTATGTCAAATTTGATCGAAATCGGTTCAGATATAGCTATAGCTCCCATATATATTGTTCATCCGATTTGTTATTTTTGCCCTCCGCAGCCGTAATATGCACTCTGCAACAACAATATTTGGGGAAATATATCAAATACAGCTCAGAAATACATTTGCTAAATTTTATCGAGATCGGTTCAGATTTGGATATAGCTCCTATATATAACTTCGTCCGATTTACCTTTTATTGTGCATCAAAGTCTAATATTTGTCTTAATGGGACGGAATTTGGCACATACGACCGAACTGAATCTAGAAGCTAATATGTCAAATTTGGTGAAGATCGGTTCAGATATAGCTATAGCTTCCATATATATTATTCATCCGATTTGTTATATTTGTTACCCACAACCGTAATATACACTCCGTAACAACGATATTCAGGGAAATATATCAAATACAGCTCAGAAATATCTTTGCTAAATTTATCGAGATCGGTTCAGATTTGGATATAGCTACCAAATTAATTGTGCACCAAATGGGCAATACAATTCCGAATTTAAAAGATACAAATGCTGCGGCATATTTAGTCCTTTGAACTTTAAATTTTAATTATAATCATAGCGTGTATGATTGAATTCTCCCGTAAAAAACTTTTAATTTTATGTGGAGATCTACAAAATTAGCAAAGTGGTGTAGGGTATCATAAAGTCGGCCCCGCCCGACTTTAAGACTTTCTTTACTGGTTTACTTATGATATTAGGATCACTGTGAGTGTGTAGCTTTAAATAAGTATGTCAATTTGCATGTACGTACTATAAGGTGTACGAAAAGTAATAAATTGTACTAGGTTGGTACTCTTGAAAGGTAACTTTAATCATCAAAATACCGAACACCAGGTGATACTGAACTACACAGACATCTTTCTCTCTGAGAGGTTGATATTCACTAAAAAGTTTGAATACAAAATTTTATAGAATTCCATTTGAAAACGTGAACCCATGCTGACAATTTTTATACATGTTCTGTACTGTGAGTTTTAAATGCCAAATGTTAACCAATACTTTTGAAAATGGGCCGTAAACCATTAAAATATCGAATATCAAGAGGTATCGTTATTGGGAGCTATAAGAAGAACTTAAGTTTTTCGAAAGAACTCTTTTTTCTAAGAGGTTGATGTTAACTTTAAAATGTGTGTGTGTGGGAAAATCTGGATTCAATCATCAAAAAATCGAGCATTACGAGGCAGGTAACTTTACTTGGGGCTGTACGGAAATCTTGAACCCAATTTTCAAGTTCTTAAAATTTAAACATAAAAGATAACTGTGAAGATTTCCACAGAGATGCTTCTTCATATAATGACCTAATTAATGAACAACTACTGACAATTTCAGCAAACCCCATAATTCTTTAACCACACTTGCCATACCATCCCCCTTTTCGAGAATAAACAAATCACAATAAAAAAAATTCAAATATTATTCAACATTTTTTTTATTTATGTTGTTTTTTCATTAATAACTTTATGTTTTCAAAATTCTCTCTTTGCATTCATGCAAATCCACATTCCCTTGTCCCTTCAGTGTATGAATCCAGCGTTGGGTCTGTCCATTCTACGTTGGTTCATCCCATCGCAAAAGGGCCATAAATTTACTTGAATACTTTAGTTCCTGTTATTCGTTATTTATGGCGAAGCACGTTGCAAGGCTAAACCATTTGAACGATGAATGAACGAACGAACGGACAATTCCAAGAATTATTGAATTAATAAGTGTCGCTCTCATAACAGAGTGTTGCGTTTTTTATGATTCTCTGTGTCCTTATTTCTGTTTCAAATTCTAAAATACGCTTGCTGGTATTTCTCTTATGTTGATTGAGTGTTAAGTGGAATAAATTCAACACTTTTAAATGTGTTTTGAAACAATTTTCTGAGAATAAAAAAAATATGGTATTTGCCAATGGATATGTTTAAGTTCTGGAGGAAACATGAACATCACATCGCAAGTTTGAAGGCTGATTATCCATGGAAATTAAACAAATGGTATACATCTATATTAACAAAAAAAATTAAAGTAATTGGGTCACTCTTGGCCCAAAGGAGTCAGATAAGGCCGAGTACAAAAAGTATTAAAAGGTACTAAATATGGAACCCTTTGTATTTTAGGAAGCATTAGAGGTGCAAACTCTTAAAATTGGAATGAAGATCACTGATGGAATGTTGATAGATGTTTTTGGAAATTCGCACTATAAGTGTACGAAAAGTACTAAAATGTACTACATTTGGTACCATTTCGTATCATGTGAACGGTTTAAAGGTAAAATCTTGAAATTTTGAATGGGGAATCAAGGTTGAGGAGTAGAGTCGATTTAAGAAGGCAGTTTTGGAAGAGTGTACTCATGTATACGAAAAGTACTAAACGGTACTAAATTTAGCACAATTTGAATTTGGAGGAACGGATGGAGCTGGAATCTTAAAACTTGAAAAAAATTAACATTACTAGCGGAGTGTAGGATGGGGATGTGGAGGAAGTTTTCGATATTTGTAGTTATGTGCAAGAAAAATACTAAATGGTACTAAATTTGGTACAATTTCGATTTGGCTAAGGACTAAGGAATGTAGGTAGTTTTGGAAATTCGT